TTTAATGGAAAATTGTAATCTTTATCATTTATTTAGACGCTCTACCTACAATGTATTGTAAATTGTAAATGTAATAGTACTTGTAGTCAAAAATATACTATTATTATTATTATTATTAATTACCCTGTATAATAAAGATACTCTGCCGACATATAGCATATAACTATTAGGCCAGATGATACATGTATGGTCCTAGACGAATTGCATGTAAATATTTCCCAGAGTTGGGACATAATAATTCCTTCACTTTAGTATCGAAGAAATTCTACCAAAACTTGTGAACAACGACATCGCATCAAAACTCACTAGGATATCAACTTATTTGATCCTTTGGTCTTATCTATAAAATATCTAGAATTTTTGCTCTCAGGTTCTGTCCTTCCTAGATCTTTAATTTCGTGTAACACTTGCAGCTCAAGTGTGTGCATAATACTTCCAAGTATACTCAGTATTGGTCGAAGTTGTAGATTCAGCTTGTGGACCTTTCCAAGAAAATAAAGTTAGGGTGCTCTTGAATTACTTGGAATAAGTCAGATGCTCAAATCACAGATTCCATCCCTTTCTCAACTTGGATATGTATCCTGTTGTATCCAAGATGGGAGTTGTATCTCCTTTGCAGATCAGAATTTCCTCAAGTATTTGAAGCTTGGAATTCTTTTCTGATCAGATTTGGTTTTGAAATGTTCATAATATGTGCATTGCCTCAGCTGTTATTTCTTCCTCGACTTCTAGAGGGAGACGTCGTTGTCACTAGATTTCCAGGGCACTAATGGTTTCAATTTTTAGAATGGAATTCTAGGTATTTAGCAAGCACATTTATACTCGTAGCATCATAATAGGAGGATATCGCAGAAGACAAGAATGAGAACTTAGTAAACTTGGCAACTGCACCAGAGGAACATAGAGATTAGCTTTATGGAGAAAATAAAAGAGAAGTTATGGGTTCACTTTCGTTTCTTACTCTGGCAGATATGCACAAGGAAACTTTCGAGAAGAGAACGCTGGAGTTAGAACTCTAAAGTTTAAGTGTTGGTTCAGATATGTTGATTACACGTTAATCATCTAGCTTCATGGTTATAAAAACATCAATAACTTCACCATGGAGTTAGAAAAAAATGTTATCATTCCGTTCTCATTCTTTGTTACTGGAGTATAACGTTTACAAAAAATCAACTCACACGTACCTGAACACTGAGGCCCACCACCAATCGACACAGAAACGAGAGATCTGCAACACTTGGACGAGGATTAGGAACCACATCATCTACACTCTAGTGCCAAAAGAAATGGATATTTCGGCAATAATATTCAACAAGTTATTAGTGGGACAACTAAAAATAAGAAAAATAAGTATATCTGGCAGCAAATTATAACGTACATATAAAAAAGTGCAGGTGAAATAGACTGCCTCTTAAGAAAGTTAATGTTAATGTTAAAAGAGCATACAACACTCTGAAGAAGATAGGGTCAACCTTTTCTAACACGAACTGCAAGAGTATGTACTACGATTCCGGTTTATATGACATCCCTTGTAGATAAGTAAAGTTAGCACCAGGTTACTAAAATAGAAGAAAATCAGCAGTTACCTACACCAAGTACCAAAATTTTAGTGAGAAAGAATATATTGGCCAATGTTTGTTTTCAAAAAAGCAATAGAAATCCAGAATAATTGAAATATAAATATTGAAATAAAAATTGAAACATAAATATTGAGAATATAACCCTGACAAGGGCTTAGAACTACCTGGAATTTGAAATACCTAAACATAGGAATCAAGAACTAGAACCAAAGGACTTAATCTTCTATTGCAGAGTTTTTTCTGAAGAAGAGAGCGATTTGCAACAACCCGAACGTTGATCAAATCAATCCCATCCGTCCATATTCCTTATTCCAAACTTACATGAGATTAACATTATTCTGATATCTTCGTAATACTAGTTCATTATACCAAAACCTTCACCTTAAGGTGGCCATATCCCTGGCCGAGAAATGGTGAAATTTCTGGCATTTTTAGGTAGTGAAATCTTGAAAAGTAAAACGTGTAGAACACAAGTAAGCACAAAAATAAAATCCTTGATGTTTTGTTTATTCATTGTTACCATTTAAATTTACCCAAATAAAATAATAACTAAATAAAAAGCGTTTGTAAAACATGCGTTTTCTGTTATCCTAACCCCACATTTTAAGAATTATTTTTACGTACTTATAAATAAAAGTAAACAATTTTATATGTAGGACTAAGCAAGTAAATGTTATAAGAATATTTACATGTGGAGTTATATATAAAAAAGTTAGTATTTTCGTAGATTTCAGTACCTAAAACCTTGATGGTTTGATCGTGTTTTGCACCTGTTTATTCGTTTTACTGCGGCGTCTTTGAAAATACTCAGGTGGCATGACATAACATTCCTATTATTTGATAAGCTTTAGATTATTCAGTTATTAAATGTTTGAAATTATTTGTCTTTGTGGAAAACACTATTTAAAGAATATGGAGCCCTTAACCTATTTTTCTTTTCCAGAATAATTAATGACACTCTTGGTACCTGTGGCATACCTCGAGTAGGGTGGCAAATTGATCCCTTTGGACACAGCAGAGAACAAGCATCGCTTTTTGCACAGCTAGGATTCGATGGAGTATTTTTTGCAAGATTAGATCATGAAGATAAAAGTCAAAGAGAACTCAACGCCACCTTGGATTTTGCGTGGCAAGGAAGTGCAAATTTAGGTAAATAAATATGTACTTACTGTGTTCTACTTTTCAGCCTGCAAAATGCTGGCCTGTACGATTTGGTTCATCATACAAATTCTTGAAAATCATTTATTTTCTGTCTTAAAATAAACACTATTATTCATTTATACATTACCTATTTATTACGATCGTTTCGGGTTTTATCCATCTTCAGATAACAGCATCACATACATGAATTATAAAAGTTTTCCTATTAAAAACACATTAAAACTTATATTGGTCAACAATATTGATTAAAATCTTTAAACAAATTATGTAGAACATAATATTAATAAAATTTTTAGTTTTCTACAATATTCTCAACAATTTATAGAAATTTGCAGTCAGATACGAAATGAAATGTAAAAATACTATGGTTAAACCGAACCAAGTCGAGGAACAATAAGAGAGTAAGTCGAAAAACATAAGAGAGTAGTATTTTGAATAAATTGAAAAACGAATCCGAAAATATCACGATTGTTCACGTATTTACAAAAATATGCCACCGATACCTTGTATCTCCGTCACTGGAGTATCTAAATTTTAGGGAAAAGCCTCACATTTTGTACAATGTGCCCAATTTCAAATTATTGTTTTGAATTATTTAAAGAAATTAAAAATATTTTTTAAGTTTGACACATTGTATCTATTTAACAAAGCGTCCTAGATAAAAACTTTATACGGTTACCGTTACCATTTGTGAATCATCCTGTATAATAAAAAAAAGATTATCATCAATTTCAACATGGACATCTTACAAAGTTTGTATTTGGCGACCCATGTTTATGGGAACCTTTTTCTTATTTTGAGAAGTTCGCACCCTATTGAAATTCTCTGATAAGTTGTATTATGATAAAAGAAATGTTTATTTCAGATAACAGTGTAATATTTGGAGGAATTTTTCCAACACCTTTATATTTTCCTCCAAGCGGATATTGCTGGGACTATGGTTGTACTGAAGATCCAGTTATGGACAATAAAGAAAGTTCAGATTATAATGTAGACAAATTAGTGAGTATCGTAGCTACATATTTTGTTTAATTAATTAGTTACGTTAATGGTACTAGAGATAAAATAAGTACGGTATGATGACAAAATTCATTTTGAAAATGGACGCCTTTACAACATGTAGTTATATATTATACTAAGATCAACATAATAAAGTCATTCTTAAAGTTAAGTTATACTTAATTTGACAACGTATTGCACCGACCAATCATAAACCATATTTAGTAAAGTATATACTTAGTTACAGTGGCAACAGCGCAGAAATTTTCGCTACTTTATGTTGGGTACTTTTTGTTTTTCTTCAGTTTATATCATGAGCCTATCTCAAAAATATCTGCAGGCAAATTTTATAACACGAAATTTTGTGTAAAAATTAAAGTCGTCCACAGTGAAGAAATGTTCTATGTAACTTTTGAAACCCATAACCGATTTTTGACTTTTTTAATCAGAAAAAGAACATGTTTTTCACAAAATGATATTTGCTAGCAAAGTGTATCCACTCGGGAAAGAATTTACAGTATTGTTAGGTCATATTTTAGAATCTGTTTTTGGTTACCTAGATTTCATATTTGTAAACATATAAATTCAAATACAATATTTAATTTTAAAACTCAGCTCTCCTATTAGGAGGATCTTGAAAATACATAGTAAATAAAATATTGCAACGTTAAATTAATTAACTATTTCAAAGTTGTTATCTTTTAACTTAACAATAAAATTTCGTATTTCTTTTATTTCTAAATTAATATGAAGCTTATTCTTAATTTTACTTTATATAACAAAAAGAGGATAAACACTTTTTTGTCGAAAATGATTTATCATCATTTTAATTATTTGATTGGTGCAGGGACTCGTATAATATTTCTAATCTAAAGTTAATTTGTTTATTTTGACGTGTATATTAAGGGCATTCTTTTCCACTAACCTATATTGAGTTTGTAGTAGAACTCTATATACAGGATATAACAAAAAATCCTCGGGCAAGTTTTAATAGCGAATTCGCTAATGACGTTATTTAGGGTGATCCAGAATCAAGAAGGTGAATGACAAATACAAATTGCCCGTTGCATTTCTAACAAAAAATTATATAATTTGTTTATGTGAAACGAATAGTATTGCTGTTATTATCAGTATATTTTAATTATTTTACTTAATTTATTTTTTTTAAATTAAAAAAAATAACTTAAATATGGCTCGTCTTCCAAATTAAATAAGAAACAGCTTTCTTATTGAAGCACGAACCGGAAACAAATGCACTTATTCAGTTGGCAATTAGAGTTCTTGTACTTTTATAAACGCATTTTGTTTTGGTATTTCAATGTCTTTTCGTTGGCGTCGTGTTCCTCAATTCATTATCATTATTTATTTTTTGCTCACTAATTTACGAATAACTTGATAACAAAAATCGTACTCTTTTTGGCATCAAAAGTAGCTATTTTTTTGCCCTTCATAGTAAGCTTAAAAAGTTTTATCCTGCTATTTCACATTTTTAAGAAAACGCGAAACAACATAAACTTGGATAAATAGCGCCAATAAATAACTAAATAGGTTATACCATTTAAACAACTCTTTCGTTAGAAATTTAAAACTTGTGCTATATTCATCAATTTTTTATGCTGAATTCATTTATGTAAAGAAAACTATAGCATTGCATTTAAAATTTTTGAGAAAAATCCATAAAACGGCATTCTTTTGAAATAACGCCATTTAGGTTTCCATATTGAGGTAAATGACATTACGCATTCACCACGAGATAAAGCATGAAAAGACCTTTCCAACGAGGTATAACACTATGGCTTTTGATGAACCAATCCTGAAAAAAAATGCATTTTTCGGATCAGACATTAGGGGCTTCCCCACCCGTTCTGTCGATAGATAGAACAACATGTCAATAACAAAAGTTATGCTCAATGAATCCGGCTATCCTTCTTTGTACCTACTATTTAATATACCTGAATAGGAATCATTTCTGAGAAATAGTTATAATCTCAAAATTTGACAGCTAAAAACTAAATTGGAGCTGTTCTGTTCATTTATTCTTTTTTTATTTATGCAAAAAAATGCATACTACAATATAATTTATTCCAGGTATCAACTTTTATACTTATCATGAAACTTTACGCAAATTACTTTCCTACTAAAAATATTTTCATACCAATGGGTGGTGATTTTCATTATGAAGCTGCTGAAATGAATTATATTAATATGGACAGATTTATAAAGTAAGTAAATAAAAATAAACAATAACATTTATAGTATAATAAATACTATAAGTACTATTGTATATTAAGTACTATAAATACTATTGTTTGGCTGTTTTTATTTTTTCACCTTTATTTTAAAAAATGGACTGAAATATTACTTTCTCAATGTCTTACCAACGCTATCACTTATTATAATACTAACAACATAATTTATTAGCTTGCCGTTCTCTAGTTTATTTCAATTAAAAGTTCATATCTTAAAAGATTTTGTTTCGTGTACGCACTTTCTTTATCATCTCTAGAAATAAAAAAATAACTTCCTAGTTTTTTTATAAAATATTGTGTGTGGTGATTTTTTCTAACATAACCTTATTGCCATCTGTGTCAGAGGATATGGTGGGTATCCAAAATTTTAGCCACGAAAGTTCAGGATATCTTCTGTGAATGAAGCTATTGTTTCAGTAGCTTGAAACAACATTTTATATACACAATACATAAAAAAGAAGGCATTCAACAAGAAGAAATTAAGTCAGATCTCAAACCAGTGGCTTAAACAAGAGGTTACACTTTCTTCAATTTTTGCCATACTTAAAATGTATATTTTGTATTGAGGAAAATGATCTCTTGATTTGTTTTTGCTGTTTTTGTACAAATTAGCAATCAGTAAAGATGACTTATGCTTAGATAAATGTGAAATTTAATTAAATGATATTATAAAATGTGTTCAAAATATTGTCCTTGTGTCTCAATGCACTTTTCAATTCGTTTTCTTACATATTATATTCTTTATATTTTGATAAATCTGCTAATAACAAACTCAAGAGTAACTGTTTGTGTAAACATACTGTATAAGTGATTCTAAATTTGTCTAAACGCATCCTGTATGTTAAATATTTATTTTTTCACACGAACAATTCCTTTCAGGGCATTTAGAGATAATGAAGAAATAAATTTAATATACTCAACACCATCCTGTTACATTCGAGCTGTCAATGATGCACAACCCAAACTGAAACTGAAAACGGATGATTTCTTTCCATACAGCAACGATTTACATTCATTTTGGACAGGATATTTTACTTCTAGGCCAAATTCTAAAAGATTCGAGAGAATAGGACATAATATTTTACAGGTAAGTTTAAAATAGATTTGCTGTATCAGCTAGCGTTGGATTTTTGGAAGTAAATATTTAACCATATTAGTTACTATTGTATTTCGAATGAATACAGTAAAGGAACCATAAAAATTAATGAAGAGTAATTTTGATTTTTTCCGTCAGAAAAAAATGTCGTTTTTTCTTATTTTGAAGAGTTTAATAACCTCGCTAAAGTTTTCTAATGATTCTGTTTCCATGAGATTTGATATTCTTTTGGGATTCCTTATCTTACCTAGAATCAAATTAAACAAATTTAGAATAAAAAATGCTTTAAGCCTCGAGCTATAACTCGGTTACCCATTTTTGGACACCCTGTAGAATAAACATATTTTTATATGGGATGTTATTTTCTTCATAGGTACTTACGCGCAAACTGTTTTTTTTCGTCACACTGTAGATTTTTAAATGGGATTTTGCACGTTTTGATTGCTTTTCTTATTTTATTTCCAACCATAAAATTTTTCTTGTAACTATTTTCTTGGAGCCAACACTTTTAATCGAATGTCTAAATTAAAAAGCAATTTTAATATAAAATAAAAAATTAATTCAAAAGGTTAAATTTTGTTGTTTGTAGGTTACTAAACAACTAATGGCCCTTAATGGACTCAATGGAGCTAGCTACGAGGATAACGCAAAATCCCTGCAGAATTTACGTGAAATCATGGGAATTATGCAACATCACGACGCTATTACCGGTACTGAAAAACAACATGTAGCTAACGATTATGTCCGATTACTAACAAAGGCGATCAAAGTAGCTGAAAAACCACTTGGGAAAGTTGTAGGGTAAGTTTTGTTTTTGATATGATAAATTAACGGATATTTTAATATACAGGGTAGTAGAAGTTAAAAATCCAGGAGCGTATTCTGCGGTCAAAAATAAGGGATTTTTGTTAAATGTCTTAAATCAGTTTTTAATTTTCAATTTCTAAACCGCTTGAGATAATTTAACCCAATTCGGTATGACAGTAGATGTGAAACAAAAAATTACCAGCTTTAGAAACTTACCAGTGGCGGAGGTGTGGTATCATCGATTATTTGCAAAAAATATATAATATTACACATAAAATAGGCATGCGCTATTGTATTATCTTCACTCTTTGTTTCTTTACACTTTACACTCAAGTGCATTTTTACACAGTTACTTAAATTACTTAAATATATCTTAGGAAGGCCATGCAAAACGATAATAATTATTTAATATTGTCTATTGTCAAATTATTAAGCTTATTTCTTTTAAGATTAAGTTTTAATAATGGCTTATGCATATTCAAATGCTGAAATGGCCAATATGGTTTACATTTATGGCCTTTCAGATGGAAATTGTACTGAGGCTAGGCGAATTTTTTAGGAAAGATTTCCAAATCATCCAACTTCAAATTCAATTCAGAAATGTTTTTCAACGTCTTTCGGAGTCAGTCTCATTTCAGAGAAGTCCAATTATTGGAAGACCTTTCAATGTTAGAACGCCTGAGTTGGAAGAAACTATTCTACACAAACTGAAGGCCTAAATACTAGTATCATAAATTAATTTGGTCTGTTTTGAAGCATCAACAGTTATACACATATCACATACAGACGGTTCAAGCCTTACTGCCGCAAGACTATCCTGCTCGCCTACAATTTTGCTACTGGATTTTGCAAAAAATTGAACCAAATATTGACTTTACCGCTGGCATATTGTTTACCGACGAAGCTAATTTTTCCAGAGATTCTATAATGAACTTCCACTATAAACACGTTTGGTCTGATGAAAACCCTCATGCCATAATGGAATCTCGATTTCAACATCAGTTTTCTTTGAATGTATGGGTGGGTATTATTGGAAATTTTCTTCTTGGGCCTTACTTTTTACCAAGAACATTAACCGGGCCTCCTACAGACATTTTCTTGAAAACGTTTTATCTGAAGTGCTTGATAATGTTTTCTATGCGCTAAGAGAAAGAACGTGGTTTATACACGAGGAGGCATTCAAGAACCAGGTCAACCTTGGCCACCCAGATCACCCGATATGAACCTTATTCATTTTTTTAATAGGGGACATCTCACGACATTAGTTTACAAGGTTTACATTGAATTCTATTTGTAATATTATTAGTGATACATATATTTTTTGGCAAATAATGATCGATGATACCCATACCTCCGCCACTGGTAAGTTTCTAAAGCTGGTAATTTTTTGTTTCATACTAAATATGCACACCAAATTTGGTTAAATTGTCTCAAGCGGTTTAAAAATAAAAAATTAAGAACTATTTTTTTTAATTTTTGGCACGCTGTAGCTGGACAATGGCTGTCCTAAGACATATTACTTATTTATTTTTATTTTTGGCCATAATACGTCCCTGAATTTTTGCCCTCTACTTAAGAAACACCCTGTATTTGAAACAACAAAATTGTATAAAAAACTTCAAAACTTCAATTCAAGTGACTGACATTTTTTAAAACTTGACTTTTGGTGGCATTATATTTTTTGTGATGTCGTCAGGGTCGAGTTATGAGGTTATTAAGAATGAGGTGTTGAAATTTAAGAAAAAAACTTCGATTTCGAATAGGACTATATTCGAGATAAATTTGTTATAAACTGGATGAACATAATAATTTTCGTTCGCAATTTGTTCTTCCTGCAAATCTATTTCAGCTTTGACTGACTATTAAATATTCATCAACCACGCAATCTACAAATTTATTGTCATATTTTTCATGTGGCTTAATTTCATCTGTTTTTTTGAAAGTTGAAATAAACCATATTTTCATTAATTTTGAACATCCTGTAAAGTGAACATATCAGCAGCGCAAAATGCAGGAAAGCCGGGATAAGTTCAAAGCAGCAACTTGGAAGTTGTATACGAAATTTTAAAATAAACTTAGTTTTTCCATTAATTTGTCATATTTAATTTAAAACCAAAAATACGGAGAGCAAATACAATCCTTACATTAGTTTACTCTTTATGTATCTTTAAGATTTAAAAATATTTATATTAATACGTTTTCTGATGCATTTTATTTATCGTTCTTTGTTGCACCTGAAAATAACCGTTATACTAGATAATTCGACTATGAAATGTTTAAAATATTTTTTATTATTAAAAATGCTCTTTCGCGGTGTGAATTTTTGTTCAGGGAGTTGTTTTCTTTAATTAAGTCATTAATCAATAATCTAACTCAAACGTCTTCGAAGATACCTGAGTAAATAAAATAAAATATAATAAACAATATAGTAATAATAGGTAGTAATAATAACAAATTTTTTATTATTCTTTTAACTTAATTTGTTGACGTTACGACATCTGCTTATAAATCGAGTTTAGGTATGCATCCTATTGTAATTATAATGTAATGTTCTTTTAAGTAGGACAAAAAACTACCAATGACCTCCAGGTGTGTGGTTATCAATATCAGCCTTGTGTTTCAGTTTCATAATGTAACCTAGTAGTTATACAATAAACCAACCTAAAAACCTAACTAGACCACTATTAGAAACACAAAAGTTTACATCATTAAAATAATAGCGGAAGTACATATTTAATAGTTGAAATTAGGCTAGATTAAAAAAATACAATATCTAGAGATTCCATTCGTTTCTTTGGAGGGTAAATTTTATACATAAAAACGTGGAAGAAAATTTATATGGATAAAGGTCCTAAAAAGCGCCACAAAGAAGCTATGACGGTCTTTGATTTATGGCTCTTAGATATCAATAAAAAGAATTTTTGTAAAAATTCACCGGACTAATATTTTCCTAGAAAAATTGTTCCAAATGAAACATGTATCGTCACTGGTTAAATTATCCTCACAGCAGAACAATGATGTAAATTTCAAATTATTTTAGTAATTCTGACTGATCACAACTGTTCCTTATAATCTATTAGGATTTATTTCATTTGATCAATTGTTTCTTGTTTTTGTATGCAGAATCACCGCTCAAAATTATACAAACTAAATTATCTTCTAACGATCTGGTGACATGTAGCTTTGTAATTGATATTATTTTGCTAACAAATTATAATATTCTAATACAACAATTTGACCTTTTATAAAATATAAAATTAAAACCTCTATAAATATTGTAAATAGTGGGAAATATCTTCGATTTGGGTAGGTTTTGCAAAAATAACATTCATATAAAATTTATTTTTTTCGAGCTTATCCAATAATTACACCGGCCAACAAAAGAAAAAGTTATGTGAAATTTACATGCGTCATATGATTTCCTGTGTATTTTTGTCTCCTGAGCACGAATCCATAGTCTATTTTGCTCCATCACCCTTCAGTTTTCCGTAAATCGCTGAATACCTTCAGAAAATCGCTAAAAATCTTCAGTAAAATGGAGAAATTTACGAAGTAACGAGATCTTAACATGTGACACATGTTTTTCGATGACCATGAGTCACATATGAAGATCTCGTTACTTCTAAAAATTTACTATTTTTTAGATTTTTATCGATTTTTTGAAGACTAGACGGTGATGGAGCAAATCCTACATTGAGTTCGGATTCAGAAGGTAACAATACGTCCAAAAACTTATGCCGTATATCGAGATCTCATCACTTCTCAAATTTCGCCCTTTTTCTGAAGATCTTCAGCGGTTTTTTGAAGACTAGAGGGTTATGGAGTAATTCTGACAACGGATTATCAAAATAATTAAAACATTATCAAATAATCAAATTCCAATTTTCAACCTCAAAAACCTTATCCTAGAGGGTGAATCCGAAGAAAAAATGTAGGTATATAAATATGTGGCGGTGTTTTTGCAAACTACCAAATTTTCCACCATTTTCGGGACAATGGGTATAGAACAGCCTGCTTATATCTTCGTAAGAATATACGTTTAACCAATATTTATATTCATACTTTTCAGAGAATTACTTAAGAAATCACAAGAGTTGAAAACTACCTTGACTCTATCATCATGCCTATTGTCAAACATAAGCATCTGTGATATTACACAAAAATCCGAAAAATTCCTGGTAACAGTATACAACCCCTTATCTTGGCCAGTTACTCATTACATTCGTTTACCTGTCAATAGCACCTCTTTTAATATCCAAGGACCAAATGGTAAGTATTTGACACATTTATCTTTTACTCTTTAGACATCGTTGCACCTCTTTTGAACAGGATACGTCTCTAGATGCCTTTGTATCTTTACGAAATATTAAAAAATAATGAATTGGGTAGACAAAAAAATAGTGATAAAATAAAACAAATGTAAAGGTTTTAACACAACTATTTTGACGGGTTGTTCTGTTATAAACAAAACTAATATAAAATATTAAATCATGGACTAAGAGCGCATATTCATAGTACTATGATCATGCGTTACATACGTTTTCAAGATATCGTTTGGTAGGTAAGAATAGTTGTAAAATATTTACATATAAACAAAATTTTTTTTATCTGATTATCCGGGGAGTGAAATAAGATGTTGCTTCTTAGGTGGCAAAGAGGGACTTGGAAACAAAATAGCATCTATCCAGTCCTAGGTTTTGTTGACCAGTGTAAATCGGTTGCTGCTGGAAAACTGTAGTAGCTGATGAATACTTCACCGAAGCTGAACTTAATGAAATACTGGAACTTATCTAACTTATCCTAAAAACCCTAAAATAGAACAATTACCTAAGTACTATGAACTAAAAAAATGCCTCTCAGTTGCAAATCACCTTCTGTAGAAGGCTTTAAATTGAGGTAATCAGAATTACCTTCGGAAATAAAATAAATCTTAAGGCAAAACAGAACGGAATTTATCTTGGATGAACTTTTGCACAAAAAGATTGTCAGAAAAGCGTCTCGGAAAACTTTTAGTGAGAGACTTCTGGATATAGAGACACATCGACGGTACAAAGTATAAGCACCAAAAGGTGGTTTTTCAAATCCCATGAATATGGAAAACCGTAAAATTAATCACGATCCACCTATTGCTTTTCACTTCACCAAAACCCGTCCGTCTCTACCAGCTAGATGTTATTTTTTGAGGAGACATAGAGGACACTTTTTGTGGACATAATTTCGGATGTGTTGGTTGTCTATCGTATCGTTTCGTAAACAGAAGTGTGTGTAGGTGCAATTCGAACGAAGTAAAATATGACAGAATATACCTACCTATACGACGAAGAAATACTAAATTAAAAGTAGCGTTGTTAGTAATTATACATACATTAATGCTAATTAACTACTAAATATGAAAAGAAGCATTTCAAAATGCTACAATCTATCATAAGGTCCCTTATCCTAATTGAAATTTTTGTAAAATCGCAACCCCACCTAGAGGATCAAAGTTACTGACGCTAAATTTATGTCAGTAGATGCCAGCTTCCAAAATAAAGCGTTTTTTCCATAAATGAAATCCAACAGGACGTTAAGAAAACAAGGCAAATTTAACAGCTAATTTTTTGAATGATTTTAACCAAAACAGTTAACATAATTTATTTTCTGTTTATTATATTTAATATTCAAAATGTCCACAATTTTGAGACAAAACAAGCCTGGTATAATTTTGGCTAGTTTTTCTTAACCCGTTGAAAAAATCCATGTATATCTATTCGCATTCTTTATCTGGTTGACAGCAGGAAAATGTATTCTAGGAGATCATTTTTATCCCAGACTTTGGTGGTCTATTCCTTTTTTTTATATGGTCCTATAAATAGAAGTCTAAAATATTGAAATCAAGAGATCTTGGACGCCAGTAATTAGTATCATTCTTTCCTATTCGTTTGTTTACATAATTGTTAATGTTCTCCACAACCATGCAGCTTATGTGGGCTGAAACTCCATCATACAAGTAGATATCACATATTTAAAAGCATGTATATTTTAATAAATATTTCTCTCCATTTTCAAGATGGTGTTGCTGTTGGTGATGATTTTTTACATTTCCAGTCCACAGATTAACGAAAAAATCAGTTTACATTTTTTTGGAATAATCACATAGCGACTTTCACTCACAACTCAAAAATAGACACAGGAGTTTGGTTTAAGAAACGGATTCAAGTCTCCCTTAGTCTAGGAACACATATCACAGTTTTCCAGGCAGAAGCAATAATCACTGAATGCTACACATTGAAATTAGTAGAGATGAACGCTAAAATCAACGAAATGTGATTTAGTCATGTAACACCGTAAAAGACCTGATTCACTTGTAATATTGTTAGTTATTATTAAGGCACTGTTATAGGAATGAGTGAAAGGTAATGCCTATAAATAGTGGCAAGAAACCCCATAACAAAAGCAAGCAAGATGTTTTAGAAGGGCGATTAGGATAAGGATAAGCTATCTACTGTTGCCAGGGACAAACTGGAAGATGGAATATGAAGAATAATTCTCAAAACTGTGGAGCCAAACTTAAATGAGAATTAAAGAAAAATTTGTGGAGATTCACAATGGCCCTATGGTTAGTCGCAATGGACAATAATTTTAAATCCACTCAATACATTAGCAATCTTTATCGGAATTCCTTCAAATTATTTTAAAGTAGGAAACTGATAACGTTACTGGAAGCTTCATTCTCCCTCAAATCAAAGACCACCAAAATAGAGCGACAAAATTAAAAACTTATATTTAGCATTTTTTATTGGGAACGTTAATCTGAGTCACTCAAAATTTTATTAGATTTAAAGAATCATATTTTCTTTAAAAATTATTTGGAATTTAATTATTATGTATTACATAAGTGTTTAAGTTAACAAAAAAGGATTAAGAAATGTAACAACATACTTTTTCTGACGCTTACTTTCAAATTCAAAGAAATTTTAAATATTGTCCTTTCGAGTTTTGCAGTCGCATATGGCATACTCTATATTAAAAATATAGTTTTTCCATAATCAACATTGTTAATATGTTAAATATTAGGTACGGAAGAATATGATGTTATTGCACCAATTGCTTATTTTCACACAAAGCTGGACAAATTGCAAAGTAGTCACGAACTGGTATTTGCTGCTAAGGATGTACCACCTATGGGCATCAAGCTTTATTATGTTACTAAAAAAAATGAAAATGTACAGGAACCCTACAAAGCTGTAACTGATAAGCTATTTTTTGGAGACAATGTGAGTATATTACAGAATAATATATTTTAATATCCCTAGATATAAATATTTAACTACATTTTTACCCATTAGACTCTCCACATCATATTTACTCCCCCCCCCCCCATGTATCCTGTATTAAAACGTTTGACGGATCAAGATCAAGATGTACTTAAGATTTTCAAAAACTTGTTCCCAATGGACCCTTTTCTGAGTGATTACGAATTTTCTAACCTTATATGCCTAGGCTTTAGGTTCAGGGTTTCTAAATTCAATACTAGTTGATAATTGAGCAGTACCAGTGTGATTCTCACAATTTCCAGATGAATAAAGACCTTATCTTTTTGAATATATTGAAATTTCTAACATTCAAATTGATTTTTCACTCACCTTTCGTCAATATGGCGCCATACACAGCCGCCATATTGGATTTCCAAAATATGTCACTGCGCATTAAAAAGTGTGTGACATAAGAAACGTACGTACGTTGCTTCAATTTTTTAACAGACGGGGCGATTTTTTGACCAAGGGAGCGATTTTTTGACAAGGGGAGGAGGGGTACTGTGACGTGGAACATCTCACAAGAATATTTTTTTATAACATTTTTAGGAAACCAATTTTCAAATAGACAAGGAAACGAATCTCTTAAAATATGTCACGATGAACGGAATAACTTTGAATATCACTCAAAATTTCTACTATTACTATAGCGAAACAGGTGAACATGATAAAACCAATATTTCCTCTGGCGCTTACTTATTCCGACCCACAAACACAACACCGGAGTCCTTGGACAATACTGTAACGAAGGTGGCAGTTGTGAGAGGAAAATTGGTGGAAGAGTTTCATCAACAGTGGAACGACGAGAAGATAAATGTGTCACAAATCATAAGACTGCACAAAAAGGAGAGATACATCGAGTTTGACTGGCTTGTAGGTGGAATAAATATGTGAGTATTATTATAATTATTGGTAATTAAGTTGTGCACAGAATGATCGATTCTTTTAATGGTGGGCACCGCTTCTTTAGGGTTAAAAATTGACAATACGTCGGAGAGCCATATCGAAGTTATCTAAGTCGCCCTTGGTCGTTTCTTATTTGATAATAAAAAATTTGACTGTTCACCATTTCTAATAGAATTCATTTTCTTGGCAATGGTTTGAACGCTACTCTTGCCTATTCTGGTCGCAAGAACAGCTCGCTCTTTTACCTTATTAAGTTCCTTAACAGATAGACAAGCACCAGATCCACGCTGCATATAACATCACATTAGCTAGCACTTCTCGTGGCTGCCTCGTTAACTTTTGTCAGTTTCAAAACAAAATCCATTGCGAAGTCTTTTCGGAAGCTTAATTCAGTTTTAAGTACTCGATCTTATTTATTTGAACGCAGTTTTACAATCACAGGGCCGTTTTCCGCAACGTCTCCAGTTTGCTCTTGTGGGCGGAGCTAGCTCAGATGCAAACTTATTTCTACGTAAAGTAATATGGAAATAAAAAGAAGACTAAACCAAATATATTGATTTTAAAAAACGAAGTCAAATTATTAGGGTCAAAACCCATAACGTAGATTCATCCATAAAAATAAGACCCTTTGGCGTCAGTATAGTATAAATCATTAACTTCTTAAATCGTCAACTAAAATGTCAAATTTATAATTTTCTTAATTAAAATAGAGCGCATTTTTCCAATTGCTAAATAAAATTATTCGCCAATTAAATATATGACTGTCACTTTAATAAATATATATTTCCTTGACGAATTAACGAGATGGAAAAATCGACCTTAAACTAAGTAAATTTGGATGAACTTTCTTATCAATTAATTTAATTTTAACATCATATATTTTGTAGTACGTATTTCGATGACTTAATATTATTTTAAAATCTGAAATAAACAACAATAATTATAAATATCATCTTCTATGTAATACTTGGAATTCTGTATAAAATTCTTATGTTGCTAATTAGGAAAATGTTTTGAACTAGAAATTATATAAATAGAAAATAGTATATTTTGCAAAAAGAGAAGAATATGCAGTTTTTTTCATGGCAACAAACTGTCCACGAATTCCGTTATCGGCGATTGGAACAAGTTCATAAACAAACAGAATATTTTATCTGGAATTAGTAATCTGTTTCTAATAATAAATAAAAGTTAAAACCGGAATGTTCCATCACCTGGAGAACAGGACGAAAAAAAGAAAAAGACATCCTCTTCGCAAATCATTTGAAAACAAAAGCGTAAGATACTCTACAAACAAAGATTAACCTTAATCTCGTTTGTCTGAGTAATGCGAAGACTCTTTCTTTGGCTAAACTGAGCGATTTTTGGGCCTATTTTCACCCTAAATATAAATTTTACAAGATACTGGACGATTGTCCATAAATTCTGGCTACGATATCGTTTTTAGCTGATCAAAATACGTTGGAAATGATATGTGAGATATTACGTAGAGCAAAATCAGTTTTGGACTATGATAGAACAATTTTTGGGTCCGTTTTCACCTTAAGTATACAGGGTGTCCCGGTATTTGATACAAAATAGTTGAGTACAAACAGATGAGCTCAAAATAATATGTTTTTCATATATATATAATTTTTTTCATACGGGCCTTCGTTAAGAAGTTACGGGCCCTCAAAGATGAAATTTAAAAAGTTTTTCTATTTAGTCTCTAAATAATAATTTTTGTTTTTAATTTTTAATTGGACATAATTACTATCTTAGAACCGTACATATTTTTAAAATAAGTGCCTAGAAAATCTTACTATCTGCTAATGTAATTTTCACTAACCAAATCTGTCAAACATACTTTACACATAACACAAAATAGAAAAACAAAACAAGAACAAGTTAAGATAAGTTAAAAAAATAATTTAAAAGAAAGAAGACTATCAAAATACATTTTCAATATGGTCACCTTCCACCTCCACACACTTCCTAAGTCTACGAATTATTTGTTTGTACACGAAAAAGCAAACGGACAAAACAGCAACAAAACAAAAATTCACGTCATTTTCAACTAAACCTCATCTTTTTAAAAACATTTCTTAAAAATTACGCAAACGAATTTCAGGCGACTTTGTATGTTTTATGGTCGGAGTCCCGTTCGAAAGCGGTAACATCAAAGAGTTTAGTCGTGTTTACAAACAGTGTCGGCTTAATGGAAATGATACATTTCTGTTTATTATTTTAATTGAGATAGCCTGGAAATCTTTCCCCCAAATAAATTTATGAAATCCATACTCGTCATCCTCAAGAAATTATGAGAAGACGACCGTAGTTCACGGTGCAGTTCATAGAGATGGGAATAATTGCATTATTTTAATAAATGGATTCGGTTGTGAATTATTCCTATAATCGGATGATAATTCGAATTACATTTCATTCGGAATTAGATGCACAAAGAAAAATTAATTACTAGTAATAATTTACTACAACGTAAAAAGATATAAAAATTCTATTCTGCTCTAACTTAATAATACTCATCATCAGTATTTACGACACTGCACCATCTTTTAATAGACATGTATTTAGAGTTCTGATAATTCATTGGAAATACATGTTTTCTTTTTGAAGAAAGATAATCAAAATAAGGCATTTCTTTGGGTGGTAAATATCAATTTCTATAGTACTTATCGAAGCGCCATAATCCGCCATTTTGAATTTAAGAAATTGCAGCTGTAATTCGGACTTCAGATTCGTAATCAACTAAAAACCTGCAGCAACAAAATTCAGACAAAAATATTGAATTAAAAATGTGTGATTTAAAGGGGTAAGTGGGACTGGTCTGTAGGTGATTTCCAATCCTTTAAGGGATAAGTTATATTATATTTTTTTGGTATGTTGTCTGTAGTATACTTACCTACTCGTGGCCCATTTGCTATTGTAACCTGAGGGATTATTTATTTATTTATCTATATATATCGTTATAACCACTATCATAACGAGTCTGGATTTCAAAAGAGTTTACTATTCAATTCTCGAAAGGGAGTTTATAATTATCATTATACTTTAATTAATACGTGGGAACTTAGAAATGTTGTATGTTCAGAGAATTAATTTCAGGCACTTACCCTTTATTACTTACGTAGAATGTAATCTAGTGGCTGGCTATACAGGGTGACACTGAAGTTGAGAGAAACAAAAGGAAACGCCAAAACTTACAGGAAGGGTTTTAATAACAATACACAAAACAAACAAACAAAATTACAACACAACGGCTCGAACAACATTATTAATTAATTTATTGACACGCGACAGCGTACCGAGATTCAGGGAATGCGAGATTCATAGCAAAATTTGGAAAAAACATTATCCATTATTAAATTTAGTTAATTAGCCCGAGACTCTAAAACTAAGTCGACTGCTCAATGTGGAACCTAAGGAAGAACTGACTTTTTTTCGTAGATCTCTCCTGAATTCGACACTTCGCTTCGACACATCCATTTCTTGGGTTCAGACGTTTCTGTTCTTATCTTACTGGCGGGAACCCTGGGTATCGGGACGTTTTGGCATAACTATGCCATGTTAATAGTTATCTAATTGACTGATTTTACATTTATCTAAACAATTTTGAGACTAAACTTACAAATAACCCTAGCCTTCCTCTAGTGATTCCGTATAGCAGTACGGGACGGATTAGTCAATCTCATTTAATCTATTCTTATAGCTTGAAAAATTCGCTTAAAAACCAGCTATTTGATCCATTACTTTCTTTTCCTCACAACATTCTAACAACTTATTCTTGGAATTCCTACGTTCTTTGGAATGCATTTCGCGCGTTATTTGAAATATCGATTTTTTTCTTTATACCTGTCAACACATGGCCCCGACAGTGAACTTGTTCAAAAAAATTGCTAAATTTCGTGAAGCCTTCCTCGAAGGACGGTCTTGGCGCCGTTAAGCCTACTTGAAAACCATTAACTTTCCGATAAATTAGTGTTGACTGAAATATTTTACTTTTTGGCCCATCCGTTCCGAGAACTAATAAATAAATTACTTTTTGTTACACTATCATCCCTTAACAACATAATGTAATATTTTGAAAACCAAGCAGATGGAGAAGAAAAGGAAAAAAGGTTACTATTATGTAAATAAATAATTGTCAAATACAAATAGGAATTTTGTAAAGCTTGTAACTCCTCCAATTGTATTATCAGAAAGTATATCCTTTTAAACAACGAAAATTTATTCTTTGTCTAGTCTATCTCTATCTCTATGTATCTAGTCAAGAGTTTGGAAGTGTGGATTTAATTTGCACATATTTCTTTCCAAAGCTTAAAATATTATTTTAAAATGTTTTCTCAAAGTACTTACCTACAGCATCAAAAAATACAAAATACAATATAAAATACAATCTATATAGGTACTTACTCATGTCTCTGGTACTGAACTTTTTTTGTCGGGCTGGTTATCAAAAAAAAAAAGAAATCAAACAAGTGTTATTATTACAATTGCACCATTTATTTGTATTTACTAATCAAGTCTACTAATGAAAAATAGCTGCCCAGCGTCGTCATCCTATAAATAGTGCAAGCATTCGCATTCATTTGTTACAACAACAGTTCTAATATAATTAATAGACCCTAACATATACAGCCAATTATCTACTGTTCACTGTAATTGAATTTACCGAAAATAATAATAGGATCTTTCATTTTCAGATTAGTTCTATAGTTGGATTATCATGTTATTTCTAATTCGTATTAGCCGATCAATAAGCTCAATATATCATTATTAAAGTTTTTCCCGAGTTCAAAAACTAAAGCTAAAGCTCAATATAAGTTCAACAATTCGTTTGGTATTGCTCGACCTATTCGCGACTGGGTGCATGTTGTCAGCCACGAACACTTTCCCCGTATTAATTCCGCTACTTTTATAATATACTTTCGCGTAATTCACACAGGGATGGCCAGAAGTACGGAATAAAATTCATATCTTTTGAATGAGTTATTTTTTTTAAAACGCCGAAACACGTTAACTGATTTTGACTTTTTCCCATCTTTCGGTTATATAATAATTATTTTTTCTTCAGCCCCCTAACCCCCAGCCACTCCTACTTTTTTTTCAAATGGAAACATAAGGCATGAGGGGGCTCGTTGAAAAGCTTATAGAAAACTGAATCCAGCCATATCAAATAAACAAGTTTTTTTTTTCATTTAGAAATTGAAACAACTAGATAATTTACAAAAATAAACCCAATGTCGCAAATGCTGAAAATGTCCTCCATTCACTATTTGGAATTCTCCAAGACGATAGTAATGCTGTCCACAGCATTCTGAATGACTTCAGCTGGTAAATTATGCCCTAATCTTATTCTTTAAATTCTCAATATTATCCGGTCTGTCGTGGTACACTCTTTCTTTCAAATATCCCTAAAGAAAATAATCCAGGGGTGTTAAGTCGGGGGATCTTGACGGCCATTCGACTGAACCCCGTCTACCAGTCCAGCGATTTGGAAACATTTCATCTAAGTATCTTCGAACATCAATACCAAAATGTGGGGGAGCGCCATCTTGTTGGAACCAAATTCTTTCATTCGGTATATCTTGACCAATTTCATGAGGGAAAATCACAGCTAGAGCAGGTATCAGGTTTAAATGTTAGGAAATCCAGGTAGCGTGCGGCAGTAAGATTTTCTTCAAAAAAGAGTGGGCCCAAGATTCTGTTGTTGATGATACCTGCCCATACATTAACTTTCTGTGGATGCTGCGTATGTAATTCGCATGTCCAGTGTGGATTTTCCTGTGACCAAAAGCGATAGTTGTGCCTGTTAATCACTCAATTTAAATAAAACGTAGCTTCATCCGAAAAAAGTACGTCTCGTTGAAAACCATTATTGTCGTCACACCTTCTCATCATTTCTTCACAAAATTGTAATCGCCTATCATAATCGTCTTCCAAAAGCTCTTGGACAAGACATACCTTATAGGGGTGATATTTCTTTTGTTTCAGAAACATTCGAATTGCAATTCGAGAAGCATCGTGATTACGGGCCAATGAAACAGTTGAAGTATGAGGATTTTCAACAAGTTCTAATGCAATGTCTAATTTCTTTTCTTCATTCAAAGCACGTGCTCGTCCAGTTTTTGCCAAAATCTGTACTGTACCGTGTTCCTGAAATTTGTGAAATATTTTACGAACTGTCCCTTGTGAAATTTGGTTTTCGGGATATTTCGCATTAAATAAATCGCGCACTTCAGCCTGACTTCTTATTTTGTCTCCACATCCAAGCAATATCAAGTTTTGGATGCGTTACCTTTCCGACAATACCATTCCGTAAATAACTTGATTTTGACACAATAGTAACGTTTCAAACTCCAATTTACAACTAAAGCGAAAAATTAACCAGAAAGCCTGGCAAGTAAGTGGTACCAAAAAAACGCAACATAAAAAATATATCTTTTTGCGTTAGCAGTGATAGGTACAGTTTCAAATTCTTTATTTTATTCTGTGCAAATTCATGGAGGATAACACTGAAGATAATTAAATTTTATTTCACTTGTTAAGTAAGTGTTTTATACAACCCTAAAAACCTTGCTATTGAAAAAATAAAACTTGTTTATTTGGTATGGCTGGATTCGGTTTTCTATAAGCTTTTCAACGAGCTCCCTAATGCCTTATGTTTCCATTTGAAAAAAAAGTAGGGGTAGCTGGGGATTAGGGGGTTGGAGAAAAATTTATTATTATATAACCGAAAGATGGGAAAAAATCAAAATCAGTTAACGTGTTTTAAAAAAAAATTAACTCATTCAAAAGATATGAATTTTATTCCGTACTTCTGGCCATCCCTGTATACTATGTTCGTATAACTTGCAGATATGTAATATAATAGGGATTTTTATAAACAATTATTTGAATATCTTATACCAAGTTTAAGAAATATTATTTTTTTTATTTTATTATCAATTCTGTTCATTTTCTCAGATAAACCGTGAATATCTGGTATGGTATGGCAAAAGCTCTATCAAGTTATGTAGTCATGAAGAATTATTATCTATTTTCGTTGTATGGTTAGACAAAATTAAATTTATAAATTCAACTCAATTGATTTATGTAATAATTCTGAAATATGTTGCCTTAATACCACTTACTTTTGATAGTTCCGAATATACTCGAAAATATTTAAACAACGTATTACATATGTAATAATTCAATATATTTACAGTGACATAGACGAGATGGGGAAAGAAGTAATCACCAAATACACTGTGACAAGCACCTTCGAAAATAAAGGCACCTTTTATACCGATTCTAATGGCAGGGAAATGATCAAGAGAACACTAAACTCCCGCCCAGATTACAAATACAATTCCAGCTATGAGCCTGTTGCCAGCAATTATTATCCCGTGACTTCTAAAATAGTTATTAAAAACAAAAAAGTTGAACTTGCCATTCTCACAGATAGATCTCAAGGAGGGTCCAGTTTAAACGATGGAGAGATTGAACTGATGGTCAGTAAAAAAAAATACTATAGTGATTTATGAAGTAAATTTAATAATCTCAGTTTGGATGTGTACAGTGAACGTAAAAATTTGTACTTATAATTTTAGGCAAGAAAAATTTTTAATAACAACAATGTGAAAATGATGGTTTAAAACACGTTAAATTAACATGGTTTTGTTTAATATAACGTTAAATGTTGAATCAAATCAAGCCCACTGTATTTTATGTTTTAGGCAATGCGCTTTCAGATGGTGCCTACAGAATTAAAAAAAAAAATCATTCAGGTCACCAATCTATATTCTGTGTTTTGACTTTATCTTTAAGATACGTGTCTAAAACCAGTGAGAACGATGCATATAATCTCTCAGTATAAAGAATCCATGATGTGCTCATCGATTTACTCACTTAATGAACCCAAATGGCGGCTGAATCGAAAAATGGTGGCTTCAGATATTTACAACGGTTTTATTCGAAAAGGGGTTAAGGGGATAAGGCAATTCTTAATTATTTATTTAGTTCTATTTATAGTTAAAGTTTGATTCACCCGAACTGAAACATCCTGTATATATTTTTTTTTGTATTTGTTATAGCTGTTTTACATCGACAATTTATTGATGAATAAATTGACGAAGTTCTTCATGAATTAATTCACGAATTTATTGGTAAACAGTGTGGTTTTACATTGCTACAGACTTTGTCAAGTTTTTTGACGCATGAGTCAGTTCTACCAACGAATCAAAGAAGCAAATAAATTTCAAAAATGTCACCTTTCCACTCATAATTGTAGTGATACAACAGCGGTACCGTTTTGACACATATTGTAAGTAACAAATCAGTAAACACAATGCAAAACTAGTACGACGCCACACAATTATTTACATATTCCAATAACATAACCTCATTACTGATCTGAGGGTGGAAATCTGTTGGGTTGGTACTTCCGAACTTCACGAAGAAATTGACGAAAATTAGAACATGCTCTAATTCGTCAAGAACTTGATGAATAAATTCATGAAGTTATTTGACAGCAGATTTGGTGCATTACACTTGTCCAATTTCTTGTTGAAGCGACTTCATGAATTAATTGATCAATAAATTGTCAATGTAAAACAACTATTACAAACTTTTTTTTATGCTGACTATGTTTATTTTAACAAAGCTTTTATTTTTTAGCTGCATAGAAGGATAGTTCATGACGACAGTAAAGGTGTAGGCGAAAGCCTCAACGAAACTGAATTCGGAAGTGGCATTTATGTTAGAGGATCTCATTATCTAATATTTGGATCTGCCACAAAATTAAATCCAGACGGTTTGTACTTAAACACACTTTAATTTTCATGCAGTGAATATTAGAAAATACTGTTTATATTTCAGGAAAGAGTACAGCGGCGCAAGAACGGATTCTATCTCACAAGAAACTTAATCAACCATGGGTTGGAGTTGGGAACATTTCTTCCGTTAATGTGACTGCTTTGCAACAAAAATTAAATTTTAACGTAATAGTATTTTCATTATTAGAATTGAATTGAAAGTTGAATAATCTCATTTTAGTACTCCGCCTTAAATGAAGCCCTCCCGGAAAATATAAATATTTTGACATTCGAACCATGGGCAAACCAATCCTACCTTTTACGTTTGGAACATATTTTGGAGAAAGACGAAGATCCGTCATTATCCAATGCCACTTCTGTAGACATAAGTGTAAGTTAGAAAACGATTGTGTACTAAAATTCAGGCAAGAAGTAATTTTAATAGAAACCACAGGTTTTTATTTAAAAATTGTAATTTTTTTTTATTCGTAAGTATACCTACAGTATAGAGTTATGTATGGAATAGCATATCGGGTAAATGCTGGCACATGCTGGTTCTCTTTTGTTAAAATTTTTCATAACCGTTTTGCATAAATGCGGCTGAATTTCGTTGATACAGCGCTCAATTACCTCCTTCAAGGCGTAGGTGGTCGTGGGCTTGTTAGCATAAACTTTAGACTTCAGAAAATCCCATAGAAAAAAGTCCAACGGCGTTAAATCGCATGATCTGGGCTGCCAGTTCTGATCACCAAAACGGGAAATTACTCTACCAGGAAATGACTCAAGCAGTAGGTAAAAGAATTATTTCTAGAACTGTACGGCATGTAGCACCGTCGTGATTTCTCTGAACCCCAAATGCGACAATATTGTCGATTACCAAAGCCATCGAGATGAAAATTAGACCCATCGCTAAAGATTATTTTGTTCGAAAAATGAACATCCATTTGTTCCATAATCCATTCAACGAACTCTCTTCGCTCTGCGTGGTCAGTAAACTTCAGTCAGTCAGTTAATTGAACTCTGTAAGCATGAAAATGCAAATCTTTCATGAGAGAATCAATTGTAAAATCCCGAAATGTCCAATTCTTAACAACGGTGCCGAATGAAGTTTTGTGTTGAACCACATGTTGAAGACTAATTGATCCGGTCTCCCGGAACTTTTCAATTAATCTCTTCACAGTTGATGAAGTTAAATCACTATTCCGACCATATTTTCCACGAATATTGCGATCTGTAGCAGCCACACCTTCATAATTTTTAAAATATTGCTCAACAATGAAAACGCGAAAAATAAACGGTCATGGAGACTACATATTAGTCTCCCTGTAAACGGCAATCGCACAGACGTGTGCAAGAGAGATAGATCTAGTGTAGGCTAATACCACAGCATATAAAACAATTTGCGCTGCACTTAATTCAACCAATCAGTTCGATTCCTTATCCCTTTTTTCTGTTGGGACGTATTCCCGTTTGAAATTAAATTGATTTTAACTACATTTATGTGTGGCGACTTTGTGAAAGTATGGATAAGTTAAAAATTTTGAAAAATTATTGTTTAAGTTTATATTATGTTTTAATTGTATTAAGATGAATGACAGAAAGGATGGTCGACGAATTTCTGATCTACAAAGACATTATAAAAATAATATAGATAAAAAGAGAAGATAAAAAAATTTCAACTTGATTAAAAATGTGCAGATATATATTAATTCTATGACTTCTACACTTATGTATTAAGAAATATGGAAAATACTCTTAAAAAAGACCTCTCCAAGTAACAAAATTACTAAAATACATATATTTATTAATAATTTTATCAATATTCTTTATATTAACATACCCGGGTTCGATCGAAAAAATAATACAAAGTTGTGGCCAAAAATATGTGATCGTCATAAGGAATCCCTACGTTGTATGTATCTATTTTTTATTGACCGGAAGGCGCTGGCTACTAACTGTAAAGAAGGGAAGTATGGTTTAATTTTATAAAACAAAAGCAGAATAAATACACCTAACTTTATTATTTACGTACAACAGTCTTTCAAATTAAACATGTGGCACATAGAAAGAACAATAAAAGCATTAACAACCATTTAACATAAATGAGAGTGCCAGGCTCACCTAGAGCTCCTGTAGGGAAAGAGCATGGCAGAGAAATCCACGATCGTTGCTCTAACTACCCAAATATTTAAGATCCTTTGCTAATGATAAATAAAACCTGTCTCATTTAATGTGTCACTAAATGTCACCTCACTCGAATTAGACATACACACTTCCTAGTAAAACTGAAGAGGTTTGGTGTTAGTTAGCCGGCAGGGCCGGAAGGTACTGGAGTCCCATAATACGGGAGGAAATCCAGCTATAGTTGAGATTTCGGAAGATCCTTCTTAACACTGGAGTCCCATACGGGAGGCAATCCAGCTTAATACAGATTCGTTCCGCACGGGCGAAAATGTTAGTAAATTCACAAGGCTTGTATAGACGTATGACATAAAGTAAGCACAAGAAATCAAAGAACAACGTAATCATGATAAAACAAGTTAAATGTGAAACAAAGAAGTCGTTATTGCAATATCTGGGCAGTCACGACAATATACATATTTTAACATGTAATAAATAATGAGCAATCTTTAATAATAATTGTAACAATTATCATGAAACATCTATGTTTTTCGAACAACGTATTCATGACAAATACAAGTTAGATGTGAAACAAAAAGTCGTTATTGTAATGTCTGGCAGTCACGACAATATATATATTTTAACGTGAAATAAATAATGAGTAATCGTTAATAATAATTATAACAATTTTACTTTAGAAAAATATATGCCCTTGAGCATAAAGCAATGGAAGTTAAACATGCAAAGAATTATTATCATGAAACATCTATAACCATCACAATCATAAGATTACATAGAACAATTAACAACAAAGTACTTAAAGAATATTACCTGCTAACTAATACCGGTTAAACACTTAATTTTCCACTACCTCTATATTTTTCACACTACACTGATCGTCTTACTTTTCACTCCGCGCTGTTCTCACTTCAACTGCCTATCTTCAACTATTTAGGCTTCCTTCCAGAATGCCCCACCTAGGCGTTTGCTTTTTTTTCGCTTCCTTCTACCAACCGTTAATATTACTTTTTCATTATTATACAACACTCATGTAACAGGTGACGTCGAAGTTGATAAGATAAGTACGGTTTTGCACAAACTCAAACTGAATTAAATTCGATTTCTTCTCTTTAAACAATACATATTTGTATGAATAATTTTCACAGCCCCACAAAAAAAAAGGATCGGATCTGGTATTCAGACCCATGTATTGCCTTATATTTTTTTCGCTAAATCCGAATCTTCAGTTGGGCTTTCAGATTTGGCCCAACGGATCCGAGTTTTCGGGAAAATTAAAAAAAAAATCACAAAAAACTTCATTTACGATCGACGAAAGTTAATAAATCAAATTATTCTACCAGCTCACTAGACATATGATTTTTCACTCGTTTGATTCCAATTTATCATCATAGAGTCAGACAAGCTGGTCCAATTTCATTTCTCAGTTCTGGATCCATCTTTTTATCCACCCACCCATTCATGAATCCATACATCTTTCTCTCCAGTCGTTCTTGCATGAATACGCATATTTATTCATCCAGCTGTACCACCTATAAAACCCACCCATCTATCCATCTACTTTTTGTACTGAGAGATGAGATAACAGCCTAGAAGATTGAGAATGCAATAAAACTTGTAGAATACTCTACTTTCTAAACAAAAGAAAACGATATCTAGAAAATATTCTTATTTTTACATATACAGGGTGTGGCGTCTTTAGTGCAGAAAAAATAAAATGCAGATTCCTAGGAATATATGCAATAAAAAAGCCTTATTGTATAAGAAATTCATATATCCACGATTTGTCAAGAAAATTGAACTTCAATTTTGTAGCGAAGAAATAAATCTTAGTACGGTCCTGGTCAAAAAATATCATGCTATTCGATTAACATCAGCGCACGCTTGCCAAACTGAACTTAACAGAGAGTCAAGCCTTTGCGCAAATCAGTGTTGCCAAATTAAAATGTATGAAAAGAGATAAAATGTTTTAATGCAATAATAAATCATTTTGGCCAGTTTAATACAATCCTCTCGTTTTAATGAAAAGGAAAAATAAACATAAAATTCAATCAGTTATTTCACTGTAAATGATAATGTGCAATCCCAGACAAGAGGTTTGTAGAAACAAAGTACATGGTGTTACAGAAAAGACTACTATTATTTTAGCAAGTGATATGTTGGATCACGACAAACAAAAGGGATGCAAACTTACCGCTATCGTTCGATAGTAGTAAACGTATTATTGTTGTCCTTGTTTTCCATTGCCGATTTAGTTAAAACAATAACTTAAAAAACAAAAAATAAGAAACGTCTTTAATAAACACTTAACGTCTAAACAGTAGAAACGCGATCTTTTTGACACAACTTAGCAGCAATTCACCCGCGTACTGACACTGACACAGACTGACACTCCACAGGTGCCGTACGGAGTGCGGACTAGGTCAATGTTTTTTGCGCTATGTTAAACAGGACCGGCATTAATATTTTGTCACTTCTTGTAATTTTTTGGAAAATATTTTTGATACTCAAATCTCATAATCGCCTTATGGTAGCATATATTATTTTACTTCATTTATTGTCAAGAGTCTAGGTTTTAATATTCTGCATTAAAGACGCCACACCCTGTATATATAGGGCGAAAATTTCCGAATATTTCTGAGGCGATTTTATTGTTTTCACAAATATTTCACATACACTAATCACACACAAAAATTTAAGAAATCTTTTACACGACTTTTACTCTACGGTTTGTTTACGGTGTTTTTGTACCGGTATACCAGTGTACCATTATTTGTTTTACCGGTATTTGCCTGCACTAGCTTCATCTGCCTTGCATACACTAGCGTGTTTGGCCTCTCTTTCTAAGGCCAGTGCATAGTTTATAAGGTCCATGCAGCTGTCACACTGTCGCTCTTTTTTGTTGACAACACTTTACCGCACAAATGGCGCAAAATTCATATCGTGCGTGAATTTTGGGACACCCGATATGAGAATCATTTAAAATCTAATACCCGTTTAATTCTTAAACAAAAACTGTTCAACTATTTTTTAACTTATTTGTGTAAATTCATTGATCGTTGTTTTTTCTAAAGTTGCAGAGCGAGATAAAGTTCATGTGATGATTAGATTTTGATATTGGTCTAATTTCTTTGAATCATATTTGAAGATAGCTTAAAACTCATTAATCTATCCTGTATATTTGTAAATAAAATGTATTCAATTCAAGCAAGCCACACAATTTTCATTCATTTTTGATCTTAAACTGTTACAGATTTATTTTATTTCAGAAACTGTTTAATACACATGACATCGTCGAAATAACTGAGACGACCCTCGGAGCTAATCAATTGTTAGATGACTATCAAGCTAGAACTAAATATACGTGGAACATTACAGGAGAAAAAATGGACGTAGTTCCAGACGAAGCCGATCCTACTCCATTATCAGTTTCTTTAACTCCCATGAAAATAAGAACATTTGTCGTGAAGTTGGGAATTGCCAGTTTCGGAAATTCAATTAAGCCTGTTCCTATAATATCCTTATTTGTAATATGGGGATACTTACTTTTTTAGATAATAGTGAAGTAAATATAAAATACTGTCATTCTGTTACGTAAACTAGTAAACAGTTCAATTTTAATGTGGTCCCATGTTTGAAATGTATAAGTAATAAGAGATAGGTAATTATAGTAATTTATAATCCAGAGCGCAACTAACAGCTATTTGTGGAGAATAAAATACAACACGCACCAAATAAATTTACCCTTATTTCATCATTTACGAAATTAAAAGTGACGACAAGTTTATAGTACCTATTTTATAAAGCATGTAAATGAGGCTTGTATTACATGTAAAAAAATTAATATTACTCTCTAATTAAAGTACATAGAAGTTCTGTATTTTTTTTAATATACCTACCTACATTTTTCATATCCTCTCTTTGAAGGATAATATATGCAGGAAATAGTGTTACTCTTATTTTTGTTCATTTCAACAAAACTAAGACTGAGCTTGTGGCAATAAAAAAATTGTTTTATTTAATTTTTTAAAAAAGATCCAGGGTTTTTTAAGAATATGGCACTCTCATATTCAAGCTAATGGGACTGACTCCGCCGATCTTAATTTCGCCTATTAATAAACAATTCTCTGACAATTTTGAAGAAACCGGTTCATAAGGCTCCTTCAGTTTTTTGACATGTTGAAACAGCAGCAGATTTAGACAGCATTTTATGCCTATGCTTAAATGCAATATTAAATGGAAACAGAAAAGTAATTGCAATTACAACAGTAATATACAGGGTGTCCCGAGGTGACGAGACATTAGACATATTTCAGAGACTGGAGAAATTTAAAATGAAATATATTTTACTATATACATATTTAAAAAATATTCATAGTTACAATTTTCGAAATAGTTTTTATCATGCCTTCTTTACGCATTTCCCCATTTATTTTCCTCATGTCGCAAGCTCGATCAGTTAAAATTGCTGTAAGCTCTTCTGAGATAGTTGATTCAAATAGTATGTATTTTTGCTTTGCATGAATTGAAACTATATTAATGCTTTATTTGTGCAACACATTATTTAGAGATTTTTTTCTGAAGCACATTATAAGCACAAATCAGTTAAAACTGTTTAATTATATTCAGTTTGATGTAAAGCAATAATTCGAAGGCACATATAAAGGGCCAAATTTTGACGTTAAAATGACATCTTATTTTGAGTATGGGGGAAATAATCATCAGAGACAACTCATTATTTTCAGAAAGATGCGAAAAATATTGTTATAAATTCTTACCTGTATTTACTTATTCTGCTTCGCTTCTTCTTTGTATCCTATTTTTCTTCTTTATTGTCTGGGCGCCAGCTCACATGAGCATATAGATGTAATTTAATTCAAATTTTGTTTGTTATGTTTATAGAGAAAGTCTTTGTTTGAGATAAAAAAAATTTAATTTAAGATTCAAGCAAATTTTTATCTAATATGAGTAGCCTTACCTCAGGGTAAGGTTCTGAGAAGATTAGTAGGTATTTTGATTTTAAAATATTATACTAATTATGAATTTAGATACTTATCTTAGGAAGGAGAAGACAAAATATTTATATTTGAATTTTAACTGACCACAGTTATTCTATTTCTCGTAAAAATAATTTCTAATTAATTTATTTACTCTGATTCAATATATTTCAAATTAAAATAAAAATTATGATTAGTTTACACTTAATTTTACTATTTATCCAAAATTTTTCAATCTTCTATCAATAGAAGTATTCTTATTCTACGCCACTTCCACTACACTAACTCAAATTAAATAACAATATCCAAGATTTGGATTTAAATATTAAATTTAACACAAGTTTGTATTATATTAGGGGTTTATACCTCTTTACCATTGTCTAATACACTAATTTATTTTCTTCTTGGTCCTTTATCTCCTCTATTTCTTTCCTGTGCCTGTTAGCACAACTTCTGTTCCTGACTTGTCATCTGTCATATAACTTCTTGTTGTTTGTCGCCTTGCTGATATTTCTATATTACTATTCCCTGTCGCTGACTTGGATTGGATCTGTGTTGACTCGAAATACCCCATAACAGTTAACTTTGTTTTGTTATTGGACTTACTTAAGTTTCTATTGTCCGTAATCTTCAATTAATTTAGTTCTTGAGACTGTTTTCTTCTACTCCTTCTTATAAATGATGTTTCTTTATTGAATACATTTGTTTCTTTCTGGCAACCAAATTATCTTCCTTTTAAATCAAAAATTTTATTTTTAAAACTTTAGCTGTCAGCCCCTCAATTATTTATTATTTTTTTTCTTAGTTACCTCACTCTTTTTCTTTTCATACCCACTATTTTTTTAGAGCACTTTCTAATTCTAGTAATCCAAATTTTTATTACCAATCACATTTTCAATTTTGTTTGAAATTCATTTTTTACGAAAATTTTTAATTGATCATATACTAATTTTTATTTATTTTATCTTTTTTTCTCAATTTCAACCATCTACTGTACTCCTATTGGTCACACTTATTCAACTTATACCTAATTTATTTCTTTAAAATCAATTTTACCAATTTTATTTTCCTAAATTTGCCTTTCTCTTTGATATTTTAAAATCTTTGCTCCTATTCATTCTATTACTATATAAACATGTGTATCATCATAACTTTTTTCCTACATATGAAATTTAATTTTTTCCTTACTAAACGTCTCTTTACGCAAATGATACGTACAAAGTCTTGAAATATTTATTATAGAACAAATGCAAAACATACATTTGAAATGAAGCAAAGGCTTTTAATACTACTACATCGCTTTACGTTGAAGCAGTTGCTTTTAGTTTTATTCTTTATTTTAAACAAACGCTTTTGTAGTATTCATGAGACCATTAGATAAGATAATAAAATCAAGATTTTATTCAACCAGTCAGCTATCGCATTATCTCGAACGTAGGCTATTTCATAGTACCAGCCATGCAATGTTGGTTGCCTAATCTCGATGGTCACGTGGCTTGTAATCATTTATGTAGCTCTGTATCTTTTTTGATACCAAATATATATCCTAAAGAAATACCTCTACATCGTTAATAATAATTAACTAAAATAAAAATGAAAAATTATTATCTATCTAAATATTACCAAAGAGAAAACACATAATATCTGACATACTGAAATTCTTAAATAACGCAAGCTTTCAAAATAGACGAGCTGACCTATTCCTGCATTCTAAGGACTGATTTTTAAAGTGGCCTCGTTTTTAAATAGATTTAATAGAATTAGATTATACAGGGTGTTTCGCATAAGAACCGAAACAGAGCAGAGGCATGTAGAGGAACCCAAAATCTGGCGACTTGACGCAACTTACCTTTATACTAAGCTGCGCCCCTGAGAAGTTATAGGCCTTGAAAAAAAATAATATCTCAGTTATACTTGAACTTAGAAAAAACAAATTCGCTACACGGTGTAAGTGTACCAAGAGCATTAATCGGCAGTAAGTAGAATTCAACTGAAGCATTTTAAACGGTTGATAAGGGATGTCGCACGATTAACATGTGACAGAATTTTTGAACCCGCTGGCGGACCTTAAAAATTATTACTTTATTTTTTGGAGAATTTAATTCTAAAACTTTTTTTACTCTAATTAGTTTTCAAAAAACTCTATCGTTTTCAACAAAAACACGAATAAATAATAATACGTATCGTAACTGTTATTTAAAATCATCGAAAAATAAAAAGTTGGCTATGAATTTAAACGTCAAATGTGACGATCAGGAAAAAGTTGGAATAAGAATTATTTCATAGAAAAACAAACCACTTAAACAACAGAAATAACATACAATTTGCCCTGATAAGTTATAGAAATTGTTCAAAATGATCACCGTTTTCTCTCAGGCATAAATTTATTACTCGTCGAAAATTGAAGTCTACTCCAGTAACTGCTGATTGTTTCTAATAAATGTGCATTTATCTGTAATGCGATTCCACAATTCTGCTCGAGATGCAACTGGCGAGGAATACACAAATTCTTTTAACTTTTCTTCTTTCCCCACGGAAAGAAGTCACATTTGTTGAGGTTTGCTGATCGTAGGGACCAAAACTTGTGTGCAATTATTTCCTCTTCCAATCCATTTATTTGGATGCTGGTGGTTTAAACAATATTACTAAAATGACGGGGTGTCCTATCATGCATCAACCAATGTTGAAATCTGAGTTGTAGTGGCATCTCGTCAAGTAGTCGAATAACACCGATCCAAACATTTTTTTAAATTCGCGTTGGAAATGTCGAAGAGTTACTGAATGAGGATTTACTCATGATGTCATGATAGTTATGTAAATTTGTAATACCTCTGCGGGTGAAACAAGCTTCATCAGTAAAGAGAATTTTCTTTAGAAAATTAATGCCTTCATGTAAAATAAACCGACAGAAATTCACTCGTTTAACCAAATCATTCAGTAATAATTCTTGCACTTTTTGGATATGATATGGGTGTAGTGGACTACGTCTAATCACTCGGTACACAGAAGTTTGCGATATACCAGTTTGTCGAGATATAATTCTAGTACTAATATGTGGGTCATCTTCAATTGTATTCAAAATAAGTTCTTCGTCTTGTGCCCTAATTGCAATAGCACGTTTTCAAGTGTTCAAGCCCATCTTTCAACATTAGAAAATGTTTGTCTATGGGGATTACTCGATCTGGAAATCTTCTCCGATATTCTTCAACACTTCTTCTGTAGTTTTCTTCAAAGAAACCTAACACTAATATCATGACAACTTGTTCGCTAATTGAAAACATCTCGGCCATTTTCAAAGCACTCGGCAAACAATTACTAAAATTAAATGACTTTTTTCCCGATCGACATGGTAAATAATTAAAATTTATTATATGTATGTATACAGGGTGGTCCCGAGGTAATGAGCCAAAATTCATGCGTAGATTCCCGAAGCAAAAATATTGCAATTTATCCGAACTTACCTTAGTCCAAAAGTTGTTGATAGTTAAAGAGATACAGGGTGTTAAATGTAAAACATTATTTTAGTTTATTTCCATTTATTTCCTAATAAATGCAAATATCTACATAAAATTTTGGAGTTTGGCGTTCTTTGGGTAGAGGAATTGAAATTTATTCACATTTTGGTTATACTTCATAGAGAGCGCCAGCTGCCTTAGATTGAATGTGTTGAAAACGACATAATTTTTTGTACTTTAAGGTATCTCATATTTGGTATCAAATTCTTATTTTCCAACTTTTTTTATACAAAAAAGGTAAACTTTATGAAAGTAGCTGTCTCGCACCGTTTCCGATATATTTGGCTTTGCAACTTCCAATGTCAAAAACAAGGGTTTATTTAGAATTAAAGATTATAATGAACAGTAAAATAGTCAACATTAGTAAAAAAATATGTCTTTTTGACAATAATTGCTCAAAATGTCCGCCTCTAACTTCAATACATTTATCAACGCGCTTATTAAAATATTGTCTTGTTTTAAATTATAAATCCTTAACGCCTTAATCCCTAACCTGCTGCTAAAGTTCTTCTCAGGAGTTTATACTTCCTCCATAAACAACTGATTTCATGTAACTCCAAAAACGAAAATCTCGGCATTCTATCTCACATTTATGTATACGAGTATACAATTTAAATTGTAAGCTAAGATGTAATTTTAATTAGGTACCAATAATACTTAATAGAAATTAGCGTACAAATGATAGCAATAAGAAAAGTGGAAAACTTCAATTATTTGATTTTCGTCCAAATCCTACTTAAGAAACTTTACCGCTAAATTAATAATACATGTAGGTACTTAATTATAATTTAATGCAACAGCATTGGAAGTTTCAAAGCCAAATATCTCGAAAACGGTGCGAGATAGCTACTTTCAAAAAGTATACCTTTTTTGTGTAAAAAACTTGGAAAATAAGAATTTGATACCAAAGATGAGCTACCTTAAAGTACAAAAAAGTTATGTCTTTTTTAACACATTCAATGTACTGCAGTTTGTGCCCTCTATGAACTTGAACCAAAATTTGAACAGATTTCAATTCCCGTACCCAAAGAACTACAAACCCCAAAATTTTGTGAGGATATTTGCATTTGTTAAGAAATAAATGAAAAAAAAAAAAAAAACCTGAAATAATATTTTACATTAAACACCCTGTATCTCTTTAACTATCAACTTTTGGACTAAGGTAAGTTTGGCTAAATCGCAATATTTTTGCTTGGGGTATCTACCCATGAATTTTGGCCCATTACCTCGGGACCACCCTGTATAATAAACGTTACTACTGTTCTGATATACTTTATCATCACTGAAATCATATTGGTGTGGCAACATATACATTATCAGCACTTGGCATTCATGATTTCATTCGGATTAAGTTATGTACTAAGTACTTCATAAACAATTTCAATTCTACCGAAAATTTTCACAGTGACAAGATGATTTTCGTTCTATTTTCCATATTAATTATTTCTATCGGTGTTAAATCGGCCAACTTAGGGAGAAATATTGAGACGTCTTCTGAGACACTTGGTTGTTTAAATTGCTACTCAACGGATGAAGGCAAAATAAATGTTCATCTGGTACCACATTCTCACGACGATGTGGGATGGTTAAAGACTGTGGATCAGTATTTCTATGGATGTAAGTTAGAAAAATATATTTATAATATTCGAATAAATTTACCTACATCGTAAGTGCATTCATGACTTTCTCACTCTCCAACCGAAAAATTTGAAAATGCATCTCTAATTTAATATAAAAATCGGATTTTTATTGTTTTAATAAGGTTGGTACCTATCTTTTTTATTTTTGAAACGACATTTCTTTTTGTCCCTGTGTGTCCATGGATGGTGTTGAAAATAGGGAAAATTCTGCTTTAACATATATATATATATATATATATANTACTTAAATGATTTGTATCCAGATAAGTGGATAGGTAGCCAATTCCATGACCTCCCCGATCCCCAATATATATATATAGGGTGTCTTTTACAAAGAAATGGTTAGAAATATAGTAGTTTGTGTCTTATGATCAAATTTTTTTTGTAATTCGCCAATGCCAGTGGTTAAGACGATATATGAACACTCTTTACATATCAAATATTAGAAATGAGTTTTCTGTTTATACGTTTATTAACTAGCATAATAATAATATTATTGAGTTCTAAGGATAGAATCAATTATCGTCTTTCTAATAATTTCTTAATAGAGGGCACCATTGAACAGAAGCAGAATGAAGCAGAATTGTTTAACATGAATATTTTTATTATTATATTTTATAAAACAAAAAATAAAAAGGTTTCCCCTTTTTTCAACTTCATCCATGGACATACACATCTATGTCATTTTTTTATATGGTTAAGTACTCAACATTTTTTCTTACACAGGAAAATATAAAAATTTTACTTTATAAATCATATAATTTAATAGTTTCCATTTGATTTTTTAGCGTATTATTGTTTATCTTTACTTTTATCATTATCAGTTTATTCATAATATCTGATAAGTGATTCTGATATTATGTACCTACTGTAGACAATAATTATGAAATATTTAATCATAATTATAGAAATACAAGGAAAATAAGCAGATTAGGATCAAGATACCTTGAAAAATTATTTCACTTCTATTTGAGGATATTCTAATGTAACTAAACTTCACCTTTCGCCAAATTTCTAACTACGTTAATTACATTTTACAATTCTAACCAACTATTCAACAGGTCTTTACAGACATATAGCCCTACGAAATTGTAATTTCGCAAAACTACGTGGGATGGTTATGTTTCGATAGATACTATCTTTAAATAGAGAAAAGTTAGTTTAAATCTTAAAAACCGATGAATATAGTTACAAATTTGGAGGAAAGGTGAAGTTTAGTCGGTAACAAGTAGAAAATTACATTTCAATCACCACCTTCAAAATATCTACCAACAAAAAAAAAGTATTAGAAGCAAAATATTGTTTAGTGTTCTTAGCGACCTGTATGTTTTAAACAAAAAAATTATACTGAAATGCTCTAAAATATTTAAAAAATAATAACGAGAGTTAAGAAGGCAAAATTATACTCAGGTAACTTAATCAAAATCGATTTATTTCCACCCAAGGCACTTTGACTTAAACAAATCATTTTACAAAATTTTTTTTCAAAAAATAACATTCTTGATCCAAAATGAAAGGCGTATATGTTATTTGTGTTAATATTTTTATATGTATATGTTACAGTAAGTGGCCTATTAAACGTTTCAGAAAAACCAAAAACAATATGAGTCTGAAATTTTGTTTACGGGAGCTGTCAGATATGTTTTCTTCAATGAAAATTGAAACCCCTACAATGACTATATCAGTGAAAAGAGAATTAGATTTTCTATAATGTGGTGCAAAAAAATATAGGGTTTTCCATTTGAATTTAAAAAAATTTCTCGGTTTTAAGTTTTCAAAATGTAACGTAAAAAATGGAACTTTTAGTATAATTTTCTTCAGGTAATTTTGATAGCGGAAGGTTAAGTTCTCTGTGTATATCGAAAAGCAAGTGAAAGCTCCCAGAACGAAGAAATATACAGTGGGTCCCACTAGTGCGGGAAAGTCCAATGAGGAATATATGGATTTTTCTTTTTACTGTGTTGCCACATTTCTCGGATGTACAAATTAAAAACATATTCAACTATACAAGGTGTTCCACTTTTCCTGGACAGACACCAACTTTGGTTTTTAAATGGAAACACACATTTTTTATATTTTTTTCGGATTCTACATAAAAAATAAAGGGTACTTTGTGTAGAATAGTTCTATTCAAATATTCACTGTTTTTGAGATATCTCGCTTGAAAGGTTTTTCTAGTCGATATTGGTTGCTTACATTTTCTGATACTGACAGGTTATACTAATAGCTACTAAGCCCATTTTTTATCAGATGTTTAGTAAGGATGACTTTTCCGAATCACGCTCCAAAAACTGGCCTGCGTTATACAGGGTGAGCAAAATATCAAGTCAAAATTGCCAATTGAAAAATTGAAAAATCTTGATTTTTTTAAATGCAACGCTCTGTATATTTTCATACCATGAGATGCAGAATTAAATTCTCTACAACTTTGCTATACCTGCTCCTATACCAAAATTCATTAGTTTTTCATGAAATCTCAGTTCTATGAAAAAATGCGAAGTTTACAAATAGCTTATATGTAAAATAACGTAGTAGGCTCCTGTCAAATGATAATCTGGAAAATTTTCGATTGACATAAGGTTTAATAGAAAGAAAGGTTTAATAGAACCATGGCAACTGTTTATTGGCAAGTCGTATTTACCAAGCTAATAATCCAGATTTACAAAGATATCCTCGTACAAAGTGTTTTGTAAAACTGAAGAGGTTTGAAAGAATGGCAAATGCAAATTATGAGAAGACAACAAGAATACACGCATGTGGTAATCAGGAGAGTCAAATTGACATTTTGAAATGTGCAGTCCAAAATCCATCTACAAGTGTCAGAGAAATTAGTGATGAAATTAGTATTTCCAAAAGTGTGGTTAATAGAACGTTAAAGAAAAACAACTTCCACCCCTATCATTCTGAGCCTCACCAATTCTTAACACAGCAAGATTTTCAGAAGCGAGTACAGTTTTGTGAGTGGGCAACTATAAAACTACAAGATGAAATTTTTTTTTCAAAGGTGTTATTTACTGACGAGTCATCCTTTGCCAATACTGGTCGAGAGAGTCGACATAATTATTATCATTACGCCGATCATAATCCCAGATTAATAAGACAAGACGATCATCAACACCGCTTTAAAGTCAACGTTTGGGCGGGAATATGCGGAGAATATGTCATTGGACCACATTTTCTTGAAGGAAACTTAAGTGATAATGGGTATTTGCAATTTTTACAATACAACTTGCTCCAATTGTAGGGACATATTCCTCCGGATGACTTAAACAGTCAGTGGTTCCAACATGATGGTGCCCCTGCACGTTCCACACTGGCGATAAGTTTTCTCATTATGTAAGTTATGTAAATTCATAGAAAAACTGTTTCAGGTTAGATAATATTTAAATGATTTGTATCCAGATAAGTGGATAGGTAGCCAATTCCATGACCTCCCCGATCCCCAGACCTGTCTTGTCTTGATTTTTTTATGGGGCTATATAAAAGACAGGGTGTATGAAACTCCTCCGACAGATGTAGAAGACTTACGGGCAAAGATAAGAAATGCTTTTTTGACCCTAACTCCGGAAATGCTGCGAAATGTGTCAAGCAATTTTCGTCGTAGAATTACTCAGTGTTTATAGAAAAATGGCAGACATTTTGAGCGGTTACCTGTTAATTACTAATTTAACTAGGTCTTTATTAATTTTGTTAGAAATGCACGATGTTAATTTACTGTTTTGGATACTGCATGCGTGTGTTCTTGTTGTCTTCTCATAATTTGCATTTGTTGTTCTTTCAAACCTCTCCTTCAGTTTTACAAAACACTTTGTACGAGGATATCTTTGTATTCACAATTATTACTGTCGCTTTTCTATTAAACCTTATGTGAATCGAAAATTTTCCAGATTATCATTTGACAGGAGCCTACACGTTATTTTCATGAAAAACTAATGAATTTTGGTATAGGAGCAGGTATAGCAAAGTTGTAGATAATTTAATTCTGCATATCATGGTATGAAAATATACAAGATACAGCATCAAGATACAATCAAGATTTTTCAATTTTTCAATTGGCAATTTTGACATGATATTTTGGTCACCCTGTATAACGCAGGCCAGTTTTTGGAGCATGATTCGGAGGAGTCATCCTTACTAAACATCTGATAAAAAAATGGGCTTAGTAGCTATTAGTATAACCTGTCAGTATCAGAAAATGTAAGCAACCAATATCGACTAGAAAAACCTTTCAAGCGAGATATCTCAAAAACTGTGATTTGAATAGAACTATTCTACACAAAGTACCCTTTATTTTTTATGTAGAATCCGAAAAAAATATAAAAAATGTGTTTCCATTTAAAAAATCAAAGTTGGTGTCTGTCCAGGAAAAGTGAACACCCTGTATAGTTGTATATATTTTTAATTTGTACATTCCGAGAAATGTGGCAACACAGTAAAAAGAAAAATCCATATATGTATTCCTCATTTTAACATAGATATTGGACTTTCCCGCACTAGTGGGACACGCTGTATAAGGAATTTTCGAAACACTTGCAGTTGTAAAAATTTTTATAAAACGTCGATTATCTCTAAAACGGTTAGATTTAGGTACAGGGACTTATTTTTAAATGTCGATAATATAGGGTGTTCCATTGAAAATAAGGAAGTTTACAGCTATTTCCGGTATAACCGGAAGTGCTTCGATGGCATTAATTTCATTAAAGAGAATATATCTGATAACCCCCGTAAACAAATTTCAGAGTCATATTGTCTTTGGTTCCTCTGAAATGTTTAATAGGCCACTTACTGTGAAGAACCCCTATAGGCCCTGAAAAAAAAGTATCCTAAAAGATAAGAAATACGGCCTTAGTTTGATACTCTTATTAATTGATGAACTTTTTAACTGTCTAAGTACTACTAATAAATACCTATTGATAAGAGCGCTGGGGAGGGTCATATGTGACAAATGAAATATATCAGAATGATAACAATGATAAC